GGTTCACCAGTGATATGGTTAAGCACCCCCACCTGCTGAAATCCACCTCGTGTGACTCTGTGAAATAGGAATGACATTTCCCTTGTCAAGTCTCTCTCGTTTATATTTGCAAAGTGGAGGTGTTGAATTAGGTAATCTTTTTCACTTGTAAGATTTTTCATTCTAAGACGAGTTAGAAACTTACTGTAATAACCCAAACACATGATGATGAATAGAGAGGGAAGCTTCAGTGAAGAAGAAAAGGAGGCCACATACTTTAATAATGAGAATCACCAACATTCATTGAACCTTTAAGACGTACTCAGTAGACCATATTCAGCAATTTACATGTATTATCTAACTGAAACCTCAGAACTAGTATACAATGAAGGAAATGCTATCACCCTCATTTTACAGATGAGAAAACGGGAGGTACACTTTTTATATTTACAGTGATATAGCAGCTAATTTGGAATTTGAACCTGACTTGGATTGCAGAGACATACTCTTAGTTACTAGGCTACACAGCCTCTCAAGAAAATTTTGCAAATAGGAAGCATTGAGTCCTTGAAAGAGAAGGTAAGTCCATGGCATAAAGGAAATCTTTATGTACAGAAAGGAGAGGAAATGTACTGGAGTCTATCTTTCTCTTACAATCCAGTCCAACTGGTATGTCGTCTATCTAGCTATTGATCTATCAGCTAACCACCTACTTACCCATCCATTCACCCATCCAACCATTATCCATCCCCAACACTCTTCAGAAAAAAAACTTGAGGAAACTTAGGAGAAATGAAGAAGTAAAAATTTTAAAAAGAATAAAAGCCATTGTGATAAATAGACTATGGTGATAAATGATGCAGATAAGCACACAACTTAATTCTGAGCATCTTGACTTCCAAGAAATAAAAAAGAAACATGGTGAATTCCATAGTTTGCATTAGCTCCTAAAAGGAAGCACAACCATCTGTCAGCAGAGACAAACTTTTCTACTATCAAATCCTAAAACAGCTAACACATGGGTCTTTATTTATTAAAGGAAATTCAATAACATAAGGCAGCATCTTTGAATGCAGATGCATCCCAATAAAGGCAGAGGATATAATGTTAAATCTTCATTATTTCTGTAGGACTCCAGGGTAAAAATGATTGGGACATGGTCTGTGTAGGGCAGCTTCCAGAGTTCTGGACTGGGGAGGTTCAGTGATGTGTGACTTACCACTGCCTCGTAATGGTAAGTACAGTCTCACCATCATTTTAGCACTGGCTTCTCCGTTCTAGCTCAGGAAAGATACATATATGGGGATACCAATTAGATATTGTCAGAGACAGCGGAAGAGACAGGAAGGCAAAAAGGCCACAGACCCAAGAAGATGTCACCAAAGTGGTGACTGGATGAAAGAGCATGGCTTTTACATTTCAAATGCCAGTCCCAACATTTTGGAAAAATCCAGATATATTTCAAGAAATGGGTATTAGTTCCTTTCCTTGCTTTTCTAAGGTTGTGAAGGGCTGGAACTGATATCCTGTCCAGGGAGGTGTTAGCTAGAGACCCCCTGGGGTGACCTCAGGTTGGGGTTTATTGTAAGAGGGGAGGGATGCATGCACAGGCCAGAACAAGGGTGGGGCTTGGGGGCTTCTCTCCCACCGCCTTCTGAACTTCCCTCCACCGCCCACTCCTTGCCTCCTTTCTCCAAGCTTCCTAATTCCAGCGGGAATGAGTTCAGTCTGACTTCTCTCTGGGTGCTTTCTCACCCCTCCAATGGAGGGAGGGAGGAACAGAGGAGGGAGTGGGTGGGGGCTTCTTGTTATTAGCAGGGGCTGCCTATGGAGTTGATCTGGGAGGGTGGGTCCTGAAGGCCAGGGTCAGGCAGGCAGACCATTTATCTACTTCCCTCCCTGGAGCACAGAGCTCATCAGTGTCAGAGCTGGCCCTGAACTCAGTTCCTACTGGGGCTTCTTTTCCTTGCAACACTGTGTCTACTATGGTGTCTGTAGAAGATAGTCAACTCTACCAGTTTCAAAGAGAAATCCAGTACACTAACTGGGGCACCTTGTTGCTTTGTGTAGCCCCTGACTTTCCTCTGAGGCCAGAGATAAAGAAACCAGAAGTAAAAAGAGGCCCGAGGTGCTAAGAAGTGGTTTTCCTGTTGTGTCCCTTCTGGTCTTTAGGTCCCCTAAGAGAAGGCAAGTAGGTGGGAGGAGGGCAGGGGTGTTGGGGCTCCTGAGAGAAGGAATCTTCTGAAGCTGCAGAACACATGGTTCAGTGTGGGTGGGGCAGGAGCAGTGACCGCCAGGGTCACCAGATCCCCCCTTTCCCTCCACCAGGTCCCCCCCATGACCCTCCTTCCTGTGGGTATCCCTGTGCCCCCCAGCTAGCTTCACCTGGGAGGCGGTCCCAGCTGGTGGGTGGCCCTCGAGCACCTTCTGGACGCTTCAGCCTGGGAGATGACCACCACTGTTTCTAGTTAAGACTCCACTAACTGCGCTTTACAAAGTTTTTCACGAACATCTGCTTGGTTTCCTAACACTCAGACGAGTCCACATAATCTTCCACTTTCAACCACAAATCACTGTTTAAACAGTAACCTGCACCTGTGATCTCATTCTCCTTCCTGTCTAACTGCGTGGTCCTTATCATCACTAGGCCACTGTGCATCCTCTTTGTTTATAGTCTTTGGTCCCCCGCCCTACCCCCCCCCCCCGAAAAGGTAAGTTCCATGAGGACAAACATTTTTGCTTGTTTAGTCACTATAGCTCTAAAGAGGGATTGTCATACAGTAGAGGTTCAGGGAATGTTTAGTGCATGAGTAAATCAAGACTTCTAGAACAGCCCAAAATTGGACATGGAGTCTTTACATGGCTTCCTGCATGCAATGAAAGGCCTTTGGTGAGTAATCAATGACCCTAAAATATAAAAATCCTCACTCCCCACCCCCAACAGAACCAGGGCCAGAACTTTCTCTAGTCTACCCTAGTCTGAGGCAGTTAGGCCAGCTCTAGGCAAAAGCAAAGCAGGTGGTTTTTTTATTGGTGCCTCCATCTCTCTTCTTTCTTTTATCCCTCATTACTCCAGGCCAACAGTGGCCTGACCCACTAATCCTCCCTTTAAAGCACTAAGTGATAAAGATTTAAGGTGTCAGCACTCCCAGGAGCATTTATCCTTTAAAGAGAAATCTTGAAGACCAAAAGTTAGCCAGAATCAGAATGAATGAATCTCACCTGATGGAATTTCAGATTCTGCATACTTTGGGCTAGGGGCTTATTTGGAATTCTGGCTAAGAACAGAAGGTTAGCATTTATTAAGCTATGAGCCTTCCACATTAATCAATGTATAGCCAAGTCAGCAAATACAGATATTGTCACTTCTCCTATATACTCTTCTTATTGACATACCAGTAATAACAAAACCTTGCATCGTCCAAATCTGAGCTCATTTCCAAACCACATCTACCCTTTTTCTGTCTGTGTTACTGGGTTTCCCTGTCACCAGATCAAGGTTTTCATCAACTCCTATCTGAAATGCAGGCAGGCATAGCTTGTGAGCACACACATGTACATGTATACACACACACAATCTCTCTTTGCCTCAGATACTCCCAAATCCCACTCCCTGTTCCTTTCCCAGGCTCTTTTAGCCTAATTCACTTTTCTTCTCCCACTTGGGCTTCTTTGCTTGCTTTGTGTATTCAGAGCTATGGTAATGCTGGAAAAAAATATGAAAGCAGGGGCTCAAAAATCTCTTACCAATCAACCCTCAAGGCGAGTCAGCAATTCCTGGGGCCCCACACTTGTGAATATGAGTTCAGAATGGGGCAAGCAGAGGTCTTGGCTTAGTGTCTTAATGGAGGTCACCCCAAATCAAAGAAATCCAAGAAGCTGGGTTCAACTGTAGTTATTTGTGAGCCAACATAGCATGACCCTGTCCCTTGTGGGTCCACTCTTCTTCCACAGGCTTCTTTATTTACCCCAGGAGCAACCAGAGATTGTGAGGGTATTTCAAGTCACCCCTACCAGTGCTACCCACTGGATGGCATAAAAACCCAGGCCCCATGCCTAACTCACTTTTATACTCATTTCCTTAGCAAACTAGCAAAGTCTAAAAGTCCAGGTATCTTTATGCTCTTCAGCTCAAATTTAGTTAGAGTTCCTGTTCTGGCCTGAGGTCAAGCCCTGTATCTCAAGTTATCATCTGTACATTTCCATAGTTTCCTCATTAACATCGATTTAGTCTTGCAGTCACTCAAGCTGGAGAGCCCTGCTTTCCTCTGTATTCTTTCTTTTCCTTTATGTTAAGTACCCACCAAATATTATGTGTAAGATGAATGGATGAATCCTTCTCTACAGTGACTGTTTCATTCAAAATTTTGGAGGACTAGATTAGCTTGTGTGTTTCCTGTGGCTGCCATTACTCTAAGTACCACAAGCTGGGTGGCTTAAAACAATAGAAATGTATTGTCTCAGATCTGGAGGTTAGAAGTCTGAAATGAGGGAGCTGGCAGGGTCTGGCTCCCTCTGAAACTTGGAGGGAAACTCTTCCTTGCCTCTCTTTTAGCTTTCGCTGCTTTGCTGCAAACTTTGGCTTGTAGATGCATCGCTCCAATCCTCTGTCTCCAAGTGGTATGCTCCCTGTGTTTCTGTCCTTTTTTGGTTATCTTCTTATAAGGACACCAGTTACATGGATGAGAGGCCCACCCTACTCTTGTAGGACCTCATCTTAACTTAATTAGATCTGCAGTGACCCTACCTCCAAATAAAGTTACATATGAAGGTATTGGGGGTTAATACTTCAATGGTTCTATTTTGGGAGGACACAATTCAACTCGATTCAAAGTAACTGGTAAATGTGTTGATATTATTAATATATTAAAAAAATAGATACATAAGGAAAAGAAAAATTCATAAGCATTTATTAGAAAAAGGAAGCAACTTTAAAGTCTTGTGACGGTTGCTTGAGCTCCCCTCCAAATCCTCAAGGGTAGGGCTTTCACCTGTCTCTTCCCTCTCCTCCAGCTTCAGGTTCATTGGTGGAAAAGTTTGAGAAGTGGTCTGTTAGGAACTGGTTTGGCTGCACCAAACTGGATACCCAATTTATAGCTGCTTAACTAAACTTTCTTTCTTTCTCTTGTATGTTCCTATGTAACAAGAAGTCCTGCACTAGGTCCTCGTGTTTATCTTTTCCAAGTCACACACTGACCTCGTCACCTTTAGCATCCTATTTGTGTACTGGAGGGGACAAAGGAAAAAAGGGCATGTACATGCTGAGTCCGACCTCTTGTGAGTCCTGTCTATTCCTTTCCACCTATATCTCATTGGCCAGCACCCTGTGTCACATGGCTACGGTGGCTGGGAAATGGAGAGTTTTACCCAGGTATAGGTTCTGATAAGAAGGAACGAAAGGATATTGAATAGACAGCTTGCAGTGTCTTCCCCAGCTGGTTTTTTCTGTTTCTTTTGCTTCAAGCCTTTGTGCCTAGTACTAAGTTCTAGGCACATATGAGACATGCTGATATTCATGAACTGATTGTAAAGGATCTCATCTTGTAGGCAAGATATTAGACATGAATGATGTAAATAATACAGTGCAGCACATGGTCAAATGCCATGAGGACTGGTGCTGCAGAATACAGAGGAGGGTGAGATGAATTTAAGTTATGTAGGAGCTTGATGAAAGCGGATGAAATTTGAGCTAAATTTTGAAGGTTGGGTAGGATTAACAGCAGCTCTCATGAAACCTGGTATAGATTCCCACATGCTCAGATGGCAGAAAGAAGAAAACCTGTGTATAGCCTCTTTTCCTTGTTACAATCTAGGTAAGACTTCATAGGTGTCCAGCTCAACCACAGGTTTTGTATATCACTTTCTTGGAAATGACTCTACCTGAGATAGAGGAATTGGCCAATATCTGGGTTTCAGCCCTAAGATATCTTTTTGCCCAAATATACACTAATCATTAGCTCACCACCCTGATCCCCAACACCCTTAGCAGTAATTACTATGCAGTCACATTCTCTTTCAGGCCAACTCCCAACATCCAGGATTTGCCTCTACCCAAGAACTCTGTGAGTTAGCCTTTCCTATAATAGTCACTCCCCAGTACTACCACTTAGGTATTGCCAATCTTTCTGTGGTTGCATGATATTCAATCTATTCCCACCCTTGGCAGTTTTTATTTTTCAAATTCTTGACCTTTCTCCACCATTTAGGAAGCAGAGGGGGGCCTCTGGACTCACTACTTGTAGGATAGGGTTACTAGGGAGGGAGGCAAAGGGAAAGAAAAAGTCAGCACTTGGCTTCTGAATGTCAAGAGACACTTATGGAACCCACAACAGAGGGAATAATTGGAGGGAAAGGGTTTTTGAATATTAAAACTGTATCTCCTAAGAACACCAAGGTTATGCCCAAAACAGCAGGTTTGGAAGAAAGCCTGACAGAACTGGAGTGAGGTTTTCTTCCTGAAGAGGAAATGATTCTGTAAGTTGGGAGAGAGGAGGTGGATAGCAGTAGACCCTATGTGAGTAAATAGGAAAGGAAGTCTGTGCCCAGGTAGGCTTGAGGGACCTGGGAGCAGAAGAGAACTTGTTGGCCTTACTTTCTGGGGCAAGGTGGAGTGGGGAAGCGGGGCTTAAGCACTTCAGTGAGCAGCTGAATGTTTCCCTGAGGGGTTGGGGGCAGCTCAGGAGAGGTGCGTCACTGCCAGAAGACCTAGAGAGGCCCAGTAGGTGAGAAGAATGCAACAGCAGGAAGCAGTAGGTCTTAGCAATGTCCACAGTCCAGGAAAAGGAACAGACAGGGCACACTTCTCCACCTGTGCCTATACAACCCCGTGATGACCAAGGACCAGATACTGTGATATGACCAAAGCCTCTGGGGACTTAGCTGCAACCTTGGCGAGAAGGCCCTAAGGGAAAAGCACCTAACTGACAAAATTCCGGGAGGTTGTTTTTCCTGAGCTAGGATTAAGCTTCCTGCCGTGGGGAGGAATGGGAGCTGGGGATAGAAATTACCCTACAGAAAAATAAGAAAAAGTAACATTGTCAGCACACCTGAGCTGATGGCCTGTGAAATTTGAATCTACTGCATTTTTTTTTGAGATACTGCACAATTTAAAAACGTTTTTAAAAGTACACATTTTAGAATAGATTTAATTTATAGAAATGTTGTGATAGTACAGTGAGTTACTCATATACCCCACATAACTCTCAATTAATGAATCAGCATTGATACACTGTTATTAGCTAAATTACATATATTATTCAGATTTTCTTAGTTTCTACCCAGTGTTCTTCTTTGGTTCTAGGAACCCATCGAGAATATTACATTTAGTTGTTAGGTTTCTGTGGGCTCCTTTCGGCTGTGACAGTTTTTTATGACTTTTTTTTTGAGGACCTTGACAGTTTGGGAAGTATTGATCAGATAGTTTGCAGAATGTCTCTCAGTTGGAATTTGTCTGATGTTTCTCTCATGATTAGATAGGGCTTATGTGGTTTTGGGAGGAAGACTACAGAGGTAGTCTTCATGCTGTTTTCATCATATCCACCTGATTTTATCACTGTTGATGTGAACCTTGATCACCTGGCTAAAGTAGTGTTTGTCAGGTTTCTCCACTGTAAAGTTATTCCCACACCTTCCTTTTTTTTAACTCTTCAAAAGGAAAACCCTATATACAGCCCATGATTAAAGGTAGTGGAGTTCTACTATACCTCACCGAGGTTAGAGTATCTACATAAATGATTTGGAATTCTTCTGCACAGGAAGATGATCTCTTCCCCATTTATTTACTTAATCATTTATTTATATCAATATGGATTCATGAATACTTATTTTATACTTGTTGTAATCAGGCATTGCTTTATCTATTTTGATGCTCAAATTGTTCCAGCTTTTCATTGGAAGCTCTTTCAATTGGCTCCTGTGTCCCCTTGACAGACCCCCTTCCTTGTTGCAGTTGTCCATTTAAAAAACAATTTTGGCGGGACATTTCCTTACCTTAGGGCAAAATAAGAAGTCCCAGGCTCATCTTGTCTGTTTCCTCCTCAATCCTAGAGACCAGCCATTGCCCCAAGGAGACCTGGTTCCTTTTTTTGGAGAACGGTGTTACAGAAAGATCTGAGTACCTTGAAACCAATGTAATATGGTATATTAACAATAGTTTGATTTAAAAAAATCATTAAAAAATATGCTGGCAAGATAAATTTAAAAAAAAAAGATCTGAGTAGCAGGTGTGCTCTGTTACTGGAGTGTTATTGCTAAGCCCGCTCATCTGACAGAGCAAGGAAATGCATGCGTACTAACCCATGTACCTACACATTATCTGTAAATCTTTATAGTTCCATCTGTATCTGTGCTAAGCTAAACATGAGTTCATACTGATGTTTCCAACTCTAATCCATATCACATGGATCATTCTAGCTCCCTCTCCTTATCTGTAACCTCCCTCTCCAAAAGCGAAAAATCCCGAGTCCATCATCTCCACCATTCATTTATTTAAATGTTCATTTCCAGTAAACTCGCATAGTGGTTTAATCCCCCCTCGTCCCCGGCCTTTTCAAATCAATCTGGTTTGTTTCTCCTTGCTTTTCGCAGCATTGGACCCTCTAGTCTCCCACACTTGTCCCTTCTGCTCACTTCTCTTGGAGCCACGTCATAGGCTTATGCTGGTTTGACAGGGACCTTCAGTAAAGCTGATGTCACCCACTCCCCGGTTCCTTTGGTTTCCCCAGGCCCCAGTCCCTCTTCTACCGCCTACAATCTGATGGGGTTAAGAATGAAGAGCTCTGAGTCTGGAATCTCACTGTACAGTCCAGGAGACTCGTGCCCTCGGGAGCTCAGAGGCTTGTCCACTCCGCCTCCAGGACTCCAGATCACGTTGTCACGACCTCCCTGTTCATTCAGTGGCTTTTACAGAGCCCCCCGCCCCAGGGAGGCACCTGGCTTGGGCCCGGCCGCGGGCGAGAGCAGCAATAACTGCGCTTGCGGAGCAGGAGCCAGCGCCGGGTCTGGAAGGGCCGCCTCGGCCGGCCAGAGCGTCCTTGCTCCTCCCGAGGGTTCAAGCGGCAGGGTAGGCGCGGAAGGCGGCCGGCGGAACGTGCCCGCAGTCGCGCGGAGGCCCTCTCAGCGCCCGGCTCCGGCGCGGCCCCGCCCCTCCACCAGTCCCCGCCCATCCGCCGAGCCCACGCTCGGGCTCCTGACGAGGTTCGCCGGAAATTGCCGAAGCCCCTCTTTTTCCCTTCCTCTCCTTTCCCTGCTCTCCCTTTCCTTTCACCCGGGTTCCCTCGGCCGTGATTTCCCCCCTCCCCCTCCTTCCTTCCCCGTTTGAAATCAAGATGGAGGCTCGCGGCTGCCGCCGGCGCCCGTGATCCCGCAGCTCCCCCCGGGCCCCGGCCCCAGCCCTTGCGACTGCGTGTCCGGGCGGCACGCGCCGCTGCCCGCGCTCCGGCCGGCGCCGCCGAGGCCGTGGCTCCGCGTCCCCGCCCCGTGGCCGGCTCGCGGCTCCCGGGCGGAGTCCTCGTCTATGTGGGCGCGCTCCTCGGGCCGAGCCGCCGCCGCCCGCCGCAGCCCCGGGGCTCTGCGTCCGCGCTCCGGGCGCGGGCAGCTGGGCGCTCGGCGCCGCCAGGCCCGGCGCGGAGCGGGCGGGCGGCGCTAGGGGCGCGGGGCCCGAGCCGGGCGCGGCCGCGGGCGCCGCCGCAGCCATGAGCGGCAGCAGCGGCGGCGCTGCCGCCCCCGCCGCGTCCTCCGGCCCCGCCGCCACGGCCAGCTCGGCGGGCTCGGGCTGCGGGGGCGGCGCCGGCGAGGGGGCAGAGGAGGCGGCCAAGGACCTGGCCGACATCGCGGCCTTCTTCCGATCCGGTGAGTGCTGCTGCGGCGCCGCCGCCGCGCTCGGCCAAGCGCCGCGGAGGCGCGGTCCGCGGGCCCCGTGGCTCGCCCGCCGTCGTTCCCGCGCGCTCTCGCCTGGGCCCCTGCACCCCGGGGCCGGGACCTGCACCGGGTGTCCTGCCTGCGCCGCCCCGCGCGCCACGGCTCGGCCCGGACGCCGCTGGCTCGCCCTTCTCTGCTCCCGCCCCTTGTTCCAGGGTGAAATCTCCCCGTCTCCGCTCCCGGCGGCCACAGCTCCACGGGTTGGGGCGCCGGCTCTTTGTCTCCTTCGCAGGAGGGCCGAGGAGGCGGCAGCGGGTACGGCGAGGCGGAGGCGCCTGCCCGGGGGGCCGAGCGGACGCGGGCTGCGAGGCCGGGCTCGGGAAAGCGGTCTGTCGCCTGGGCACGTCTGTACCGATCTGTACCTGGCCCCTCTCGACCCTGTGAGCAGCCGGGCTTCTTCGCTCGGTTTTCTAGTCTGTCGTATCCCCGGCCTCGGTGTACACTTCTGTGAAACGGGGCAGCCCGTGGCACCCGCCGCCCGGGGAGGGGGGAGGCGGCGGAGAGGAGCACGGCTGGCGGGGAGGCAGGTGAGCCATTGTCTCCTGGGGCGGCCTGCAAGGGACATCTGGGAACGTGGTGGCCCGGGGCGGGGCGGGCGCTCGCGGGGCACTGCCTGGGTGGCGTGGAGATGCAGGCAGTGCCAGGTGGCGCGGTGTCTCTCCAGCAGGGAGGGGGTGCCCGCGGTAGGGGCGAGCTTTGCGACCAGCCCTCAGGGAGGGAGGAGGTGCGGGAGGCGTGACGGAGTGCCCCCGGGTCCCCGGCAGCTGCGCCTCCTCCGGCCCGGGCCCAGAGCCCACGCGAGCCGCGCCCGCGCCCAGTCGCGTCTGCTCGGTTGTCCGGGAGGCGGCGGCCGCAGTCCGGAGCACAGTGCCCAGCGGGCCAGGGAGGATGCAGACTCCGCGCTGGAGAGCCGAGGAGCGCGGGCCAGGTCAGGGCCCCGGGGTCGGGTGGGCGGAAAGCGTGTGCGGGTGCAAGTGGCGGCCCCAGGGACGGCGTTGGGCCGGGGACGTCGGGGGAGCGGCCTGTGATGGGGTGGGTGCGTGCCGGAGGCCGGCGACTCACGTTTCTTCGTGGCCTCTTTCAAAATCAAGTGCTCCGATTCAGTGAGATCATTTCGGTAATCCGGTCACGAGGAGCAATTTACAGCGGGAAGGCAACAGCCAGAGGCAGAAGTTAGCACTGTCAGTAGATACCTGGTTTAGTACTGTCTTCTCTTTTTCCTGACCAAGCAGGGTTATTTTTGAGTCATTTTAACAAGTAGGTTTTGTCTGGGAGTGACATACGCCGACTCTGTAGTGTCATCTTGGGGTTAATATACCTCTGAGGTTCCTGCAGAAAGCAAAGGTTTAGGAAAACATGAACTCCTTCAAATGAAAGTCCTTTGTGTGTGTGCAGCTAGCCCGATGGAGCAGCTCTGTCTTACCTCTTATTAGCAGAACAGGGACGTTTTCCCTTCATGCCCTGAAGCTAAAATCTAGCCCGTCTTCTCTCTGTCTTTACCACCTGTCACAGAATAATAGATTCTTTGGAGAATTCATCTGCTTTCTGTTAGAAAGGCTCCCATGCCCTGGAGATGGAATTTTTGGTGCAGACTTTCTTACATCTTTATTATGCATAGTAGAGAAATAACTTCTTTTGCTTTAAGAGCCCCAAAAGACATCATGTTGGATAGGACACTCAAAGAAAACTTCCTCCCCATCAGTGTGGCTCTTACCAGGGTTTATCTGAGGTGACAAGTCTGTTGGTGGCTCTGCTTTTAGGTCTGTGCTTGCTTCCATGCCCCAGCTTCTGTTTTTGCTCAGTTTGGGGCAGAACCAGGTAATGCTGCTCACGGTTTGTCCCTCCACCCTCCAAGATGATTGACAAACTGCCCCTTTAGTTGTATGAGTTGGAATCAGGAGCCAGAGAAGATTTTAAGTAGGCAGCAGTTGAACTGTCCCTGGGGTAGTCTGCAACAGCTTTCCTCCTCTTTCGGGCAGCTCTGAATCCCTGACCTAGATCTTAGCTCCAGCATCTAAAGCAGTGATGTCTTGTGTAGAGTAGAAAGTGGCCATTCATTTGGGTTGGTGGGAGTGGAATGGTGGGTTTGGGCAGTCAGGACAAAGAAGGAGGACCCTGGGTGGGAGGCGCATCTGGTAGAATTGCTTTAGGCAGGGGGACCTCCTGGGGAGTTTTGATTGATTGTGGATGGCTCAGTGGAGAGGCCAAGCCCATCAGTTAAAAGCTTACATTGTTTCCTAAGATGTAGAAACCCAGAAAATAGGTTCTCATTGACTGAGGTGGACAGATCAGGATGTGAACCTTTTCCAGGCTGTTTTTGAGCCCTGATACTTAAGATTGCTAACGTGACTTAGAAAAGGCATTTCTGTTGGTTGCCTTTCAGTTCTCAGCATAGGAACTGATTACTTGCCCAACTTATTTTCTTTGTTTCTTTTTATTCCTTGTTTGTCCTGCATTACAATTTATCTTTGTAGTCACAGATTGAAAACTGGTACCCATGGTTGAATGAGAGAATGAGAAAGACTTCAGCCTAATGGAACTTTTAAACAATTAGAGCTGTTCAGGAATGGAATGGGTTGCCATGTGATTTCTCCATTGCTGGAAGTGCTCAGGCAAGGCTGCTGCCACTTGTCAAGGTTTGGAGTTGGGTGTTGGGACAGGACTCTGCACTTTGAGATGGGCCTGGGGAGGTGACTCGGGGGCTGTTCCCCTCTCTTGAATTCTGTGGTTTCCTCTGAGCCTCTAGTGCCTAAGGGTGGTTTGGGGCTTCAGAGCAATCATTGCTCTTCTCTGTTTCCTGGCACCCAGTGTACCTCTTGTTCAGAGTCTCACCTCCTGTGCTGTCATTTCATTTTCCACTCAGGCCCTTGGCACAGTAACTCCCTATTCATTTTGACAATCCTGATCCCCCTTTGATAAACCTGGCACTAGCAGGCAGGTCATTTAGTATTAAATTGGACTGAGCTGAAATACATGGTGATTGTGTGTTAAAGGGCAGCTGAAATTTTTGCCAGTGAGTGAATTTTGAACTTAATTTTTCTCCTTTGTACAGAGCTCAGCACTAAAAAAAGATAAAGCAGATTTCAAAGCCAAAAAAAAAAAAATTAGAGATGCGAGCTACTGCAGTATTTTTATTTTACAGAAGAAGAATCAGGTTTCTAGGGAGGTTGAGTGACTTACGCAGAGTGGATCTCTGGTAGAGATGGGGTCAGGGCTGGGGAGGGTCTCTACCTGCCCCTTCCGGCCTGACTCTGGTACTCTTTCTAGAGGCCTATGAGAGGCCAGGACTTTGCTTACATTAGTTCTCAGCCCCACTGGGACCAATCACTTTTATTGCCAATCTATTTTGGGGCTGTATTCTTGTGGCAATAAATCATTCTTTCAGAGCTCTCTATTTAACCTTGCAAGAGAGAGTGTGTGTGGGGTGCTTACATAAATGCATTATTTTTAACCTGCCTGGCATGTTTTAGGTTGGCATTAAATGTGCAGCAGAGAATAAAGGTTTGTGGTTATTCTGAAGCATCATAGACCTCTGTGCTGGATTTCTTTATTAGCCCTTATTCTGGACTCTTGGCTATATAGCCCCTTCTCTTTCCAGTGGAACATGGGAAGAAAATCAAGTCTGTTACTTCGTGAGGGATCTGCATGCCTATCTTCCTATGTTTTGATATAATGGTTTCCTCGTGGAATATTGAGGGAAGCTTCGTATCTGATGCTTCTAATATCACTTAAGTAGCTGGTCTCCAAACTTGCTTGCCACTTCTCTGTATGTATAGAAGCCTGGCAGCTTTAGCTTTAGTCTTTGTGAGCACCTTACAATAATTATTGTATTACAAAGTTGGTCCTTGTTACCCTCAATATTTTGAAAAGGAAATGTAATTTGATAGTGAATGTTGGTTTTTTCTTTTTCGGAGGCTCAGTTTTAGAACAAAGCAGAGAGCTAAAAATAATCCTTTAAGTGACTTTCAAGAAGTCATAGTAGTAAAACAATTATTGAAAGAAACTTTTCCTTGAGATGTTGTAAACTGACTTATTGACCAGGGATATTGTATTTTTCCCTTTGCAGTTTAACCGTCCAGGGTTCAAAAGATTTAAAGCAATTTTAACCATTTAAATGATTATCCAAGATTTAAATGGAGCCAGTGGTTCTGTTCAAAGTGAAACATGTCTTTTAACTATGTTCTTCAAATGTATACAAAAATGTGTGATTGGGATGGTCTTTTTAGACTTTTTAAATGTTATAATGAATCTAGGATTTGTTACTGCCCCAAAGTGAAAGATGTGTTTGAAGCTGTCATAATTTAAATAAGCTGTATCTTATACTTAAGTTTATTTACTTGATTCCTCTACTGAGAAAATAAGATTTTATCTCAAATCCTTGGCAGAATTCCAGAGAAAAGTCAAATTCTTAATCAATAGCCACACTTTACTGCCTAGTTAAATCACTTAGGTTGATAGGGATGAATTGTGTTACTCTCAAAAGCAGTCTTAACACCTCCCACCTCCCTGCCCCCCATTCTTCCTCTATTCTATAATGAATTGGTTTTTATTTCCTTAAGTGCATTGTCTTGACAAAATTTTAGTAGCATCACTGGCAGGAACAGTATTCAACTTGTAGACAGTGAAGAAATGGATTTGAGTGAAAATCCCACGGTGTTCTGATGGGAGGTGGTAGTGGTCCTGACATCACCTCTCATTCTTTCCTTGCTTGAGGGGCCAGCTGAGTGGATGTTGCTGATATGACAGAGTGACTGTGTTGTTTGTCCTGTGCTTGGGGTTGCTGTCTCCTGTATCTTTTCCATGCCTTTCAGCCCTATTTAGGCTGATCTTGGGCAGTGAACAGGATGGGTCTCTGGTTGGAGAAAGGGGTAAGAGGAATGAGATAGCACAGCGTCCTGTGGCTTGTCCGACTCCAGATTCTGCTTCTGTGCTGTTCAGCAGAGCAGGGGGCCTTGGAATGAGCACGGGCAGGGTGTCTGCTCAGTGACCCTTGCACTTCGGAATTCTGGCTGTGTATTAGTCAGCTGGGGCCCTTCTGGGAGTTCTTCTCACTGTACTTCTGAACTGAGGGGAAAAGAGCGGAAAAAAAGTCAGGATTAGGGTGAGGCCCTGCAAGGCAAGGGCTGGATGCTGCCTCTCCTCTGCACTCTCCCTGCCTTCTGGGCCTCCTGTCCTCAGCGGGGGTCCTGCTTCTCAAGGCCTTTGCTTTTCACTTGCCACAGGGCGCAGCCCTTACTGAACTCTGATTTCCCTCCATCTCTGTCAGTTTATAAATGCAGGTATCTGCCTGGAATTTCCAGTGTAGTCTGCCAGCTTTTTGACATCAGTTAGCCTCATGTGTAGCCCTTCCTGTCGGTGGGAAATTCGTTGCTCCCATGTTTGATGGTTGGCAAGTACATAAGTACTCATTTCACTTCTCATTCACTTGTGGAAACACTCAGTTTGCTCACTGAGTAGTCCTTACCTTTACTTCCTTTTTTTTTGGTTCCCTCTGTGTGAAAGGAAGCCCCTTGAAACCACATTGTTACCTCTGGGAAAGGTTCTGTGTCCAGGGCAAGATACCAGTGACAGTGCCGACTTCCCAGGCATGAGAAGAAAGGGGCGCAGCTCCTGGGCTTTCTTCACAGGAGTTTGTGGGTCCATAATACTTTGGCTGATGCCAATGTGCTGTGAAACATATAACCTCATTTTGGTGATAAACATACTTGAGTGTTAGATTACTATTTTAATTAGCCCCATGTCCTCTCTTGCCTGGTTGGGGAGGATTT